AAAATAGATTAAATGCATGTGGCAAGTGATAATAAGCATGAAATGTTTTCCATACAGTAAAAATGCTGCAGGAAAGCAAAATAACACATTCTATAAATCACCTCAAAGAATCAACAACTTCCAAGCAGAATACTTGGGTATATGAATGCATAGTCAGAGCTGAACTCCTAAGCCCAAAATTGCCAAGAAACCCAATTTGGCAATAGTGTCTGCACCTAAAGAAATTCAGACCGAGGAGACTGGCACAGGATCTGCTATTGCTAGCAAAACTGTATGAAAGGAGCTGAGAGGTTTGTATTTAAAGTAAGAGACATTAATCACTGGGTAACACCTACCACAGTGACTGCATCTTCCCAAGCTGTTGAAGTCTCATCCCTTTCTGTATCGAGTCAATCAAAATATTAAAAATGTCATTCTTTGAAGCTGTGCTGAGCCAGGCTGCTTGTTCGCTGCTGCATAAAACAAATCACTTGAAAGCGTCTCCCTGCAGCTGCCCACTGATTCAGCAGGGGGCTCGTACACAGAACTGGAGACACGAGTGAGCCCCAGCAGCTCCCGTGCAGGAACGACAGGAGACAGTGCACCCTACTTTGTCGGGAACAACCGCTGTGCTGCATTACCACAGAACACATGGCATCAAAGGGACGTGAAACGTCTGACATGGCACTGATACTGCTCCCGGCTGTCAGCAGCACTTGGCTCAAACCACCCCTCATGGAGAAATGCAGCAGAGCCGTTTGTTTGCGAAAACAACAGCTACCTAATGCCAGACTGAAAATTCATTAACTGGGATGTTTTACCGAGGTGACTCACTGTATGTAGACACATACATAAATATTTAGGTTGCTGCTCCAGATGTTAAGCAACCATCAACCCAAAGTGACAAGACTTTCTGAAGCAAAATTTCTTATGCTTTACAGCTTGGGAGAGCTCCCACTGAAGGGTGAGTCACAAGAAGCAGGTACCAGAAAGCATCTGGGAAGAAATATCCCACTGCATAGCAACATACCAGAGGCATTTAGGTGAAAGCACACTAAGCTGCCTGACAAACACCAGAGGAAAAGATATCAAATGCAGGCATTTGGGGAACACACATGTCCCAGATGTCCCTGGCTTTGGAACACTGCAGCTACTGGACTCAATACAAAACCCTTGATGCCCATCAGCCAGAGCAGCTCTAACAAGGGAGAGACAACAGCAGCAGAGTCCTCCCAACGTTGGTAGGATTTTTCAGCGTGCAGGAGCAACAGAGATATCTAATTGCAAAGTCTGTTACTAGGTGACACACCAAGTCCTGACAAACTATACTGGGTGGTATTTTGATATATCGGTCTATGCAGCAAACTCTGTGCCAAAAATCCACCTTCACTATCTGCACCCTCTGCTTCCTTGGATGACTGAGAAACAAGGCTCCCAGAGCACATATGCCAAGAGAAATCTTCTGAAGATCTCAGAAGGTTAAGGACTTGAAATCTCAGGGCCCTCTGTCTTTTCTGTAGGAAGTGAAGAAATAACATGAAAACTGCTAAGATAGAATTGTAGAATCATTTAGGTTGGAAAATACCTCTAAGACCATTGAGTCCAGCCACTAACCCTGCACTGCCAAGCCCACCAGTAAACTGTGTCCCTAAGCACCACACCCACACAACTTTTAAATACCTCCAGCAATGATGACTCCATCACTTCACTCAGTTCAGCCACTGTTGATCAGCACTCCAGTCCCTTTCCACTGGGACACTTTCCAGCCACTTCTCCCAAACTGTAGCTCTTCCTGGGGTTGTTGTGACCCAAGGGCAGGATCTGTTACTTCACCTTGTTAAGCCTCACACAATTGGCCTCAGCCCATCAAATCAGATGATCAATCAGATCCATCTGCAGAGCCTTCCTCCCCTCAAGCAAATCAACATTCCCAGCCAACTTGGTGTCATCAGCAAAATGACTGAGGGTGTACTCAATTCCCTCATCCAGATCACTGATAAAGATGTTATCTCCAAAATTATTTCCACTTCCTGCTAGTGAACAGGACAAGAAACTGAAGGGTGTGTAGCAAAACCAAAATTCTAAATGCTCCCATACAGGGAATCATTTGGGAAATTAATTTGTCCCATTAAAAAGATGGTTCATGAGCATGTCCACTCTCCATGCAAGACAGCCCTTTGCTTAAGCACTTCAGCTCTTAGGCAGAAGAAACAGGTTTTATTTGCTTTTTAAGCAGTTTAAAACCAGAAGTTGATTGGGATAGTGTGGCAAAGCTTCTGTATGGTTTATGGATCCCACTTGGTCCTGAGGACACAGTGTCTTTCTCCCTAGCTTTCATACCTCAAAGCAACCGGGTAAGAGGAAGAGTATCAGAGTATCAGAGATCTTAGACCTTGTGGCCACCAGAAAACTGCTGAGCTTGGTTTTGCTTCAGTAAGGCTCAGAAGACCCCTACAACAGCAAAGGCCCACTGTGATAGTGGCCAGCCTTACTGAGGAATAAGTGCAGTCTGGATATCTGTGAACTTGGGCTATGCTACAGAAATTCTCTGGTGACTTCTTAAACCAGCTTCACAGTCCCTTAACACCACAGGAACAGCAGGATGAATGCAGGATCTATAGCAACAAGAAAAATTATAGCAGAAATATATGTGCTGTATTAAAGATAAGAAATGAGCCAAGGGGAAGATTTGAGTTCACTGTTCCACCTCCATCTTGGCTATAATAAAAACCGCAGGATAAAACCGCAGGATAAGGTATAAAATATTAACTGTTGCAATACTTCACATTTTAACCTGAAAGTGTGCTGACAAACCAAACCTCTGGTGCTAGCTGGGCTTTCCTCCAAAGAGAAAGGTAGGAGCTTGTCACTGTGCCTCAGGTAATGCCCCCCAGCCCTGATCGTGCCCCTGGCAAGGGCTGGCAGACAGCTGTCCTACTCAGAGCAAAACCCTCCACACCTTGTCTTTACAAGCTGTGTGTTGAAGGAAAGCTTCCACAAATAATGAAATATATCAAAATGCCAGCAGGCAACACTGCACCCAGGTCAGGGCTCTAAATTGTCTCCCTTGCCATTCAGAACCTCTTTTCTTTCCTTGCTCAGAGACACTGTACCAGGGCACATTACAGCAGTACTGCTGTGGTGTAAAAGGAGGACTTCATACCTTGGTTGATGTAGCACCCACTTACAAGCCTTCTTTTGTGCTTGTGAGTGACCTTTGTGTGTTCTGCTCACAGAATTGGTGTTTCTGTAGTACAGCAAGCATGGTGTCAAGTACAAACGCCCAACATGTGGTGAGAATCATCCTCAGAGCAGCTTACAGGGTCGTGCCTAGCAACTGTGATTCCAAATGACCAGAACTCATAGAAAGACATCAGATAGGTGGTAACTATAGCACAAAGCTACAGAAACACACAGACACTTTTCGGATAAGATCCGAGGGGGATGTCTGACTTCTGCTTTATAATTCCACAGTGCTTGGGCTTAATGTGCTCCACAGAGTGTTTGAGAAAGCGAAGGCCTGTCACTTTCCTTATCACAATATACAGCTCTGAAATGATAGGACTCGATTTCACTTTCTCATAATCTTCAGCAACATAAAAGATTTCACATGCAAATCATGGTATTCAACACGAAAATTAAATTTGGAGACAGTAACACGAGGAAAAGATTTTCTGAAATTAGCATGAATAATAGCCCCAACCTCACACTACTTAAAAACATAGCAAATCCAAAATTTCAGACTGGGTAGAAGAGTGCTGTGCAGTAGAGAATTTAGGTCACTAGTGGTTGTTATTGGTCAGCCAGACCTGATATGCTCACTTTCAGTATCTGATATCTCCAGAGAGCTCTCTAGGACTCTCCCCTGACTGATCTGTCTTTACACGGATTTGAGGCTTCAGGGCGCTGATAAATTGTTTCCTCACTAGAATGAAAGACTTCCGCTGACAGGACGTGGTTTTGAGGAACTAACTGGAAAAAAAGGAGGCATCACGCAAGGGAAAGCCTGCTGCCTCCTTCCCAGTAGTGGCCTCTCTCTGTTGTATGGAGCAACTTAACCCCGCGTCCCGCCCGCAGCCCCGAGAGAGGGCGCTGGAGCCTCGGCTGAGAGACGCCCGGCTGAGAGATGCCCGGGGCCGGGCAGGTGCGCGCACAGCTCCCGGGCGAGAGCCCCGTGGAAATCCTAGGGATAGAAAAGGGGAAGTCGGAGAAGCGCCTTGGCACCTTTTTGTGGTTTGGTTTGTGTTTGTTTGGGTTTTTTTTTTAAATTATATACACAAACATCTTTCGGGGCTTTGAAGGGCTGAATTCTCATGGGAAATTGTGCATACTGTAAAAAAAAAAAAAA